TCGAAATTTAGACAGAAGAGGGCGAAAAGGGAGCAAAATAAACGAAAGCGTGAGGATCACGGTTTTGGTGCTATTATCATGGGCAGCAGACCATGATGTTGACAAGCAAACTGTGAAGTCTGCAAACTTCCAAGAGGGTTTGCGTGGCTCGCGGGTGTAGCAAAGATTACGATCTCCAAACCGTGAAGTCAACAAGCAAGCCATGAAGTTTGTTAGTGAATGGCGCGCTTTGCGAGATCACGGTTTCAATACCGACTTCACAGGTGTGATGTGAGACCGTGATATGAGCATGCGAAAGCTATATAAAGAAGAGTAAGCTGAATTTGAAGGGGCGAGTTCTAGAGAGAGTGATGGTTCTTCAATCATAAAGAGAGAAAATTCGGAGGCGACATTGCTTTTCCTTTCAAGGTGGTGTGAAGTCCTTGTGTTTCCTCAAAAGTATGATGCTTCCTCTAGATGGTCTCTTATGGAAAGATTTTTACCCTTGATAACTTGAATAGAATAGGGATTACTCTTACGAATTGGTGCTCGCTTTGCGAATTCCACGAGGAGCCGATTTCACATATCATTTTCTTGTTTCCATTCTCAGTAGAAATTTGGGAAAGCTTGACAAAAGCTTTTTATCTTCATGGTCTTGGAATTCTTGTTAAGCGTCAGTTTCTCATAGCTTGGAGAGGCTTTTGGGGTGACCCACGATTTAGAGATCACATTAATTTGTTCCCTCATGCGTTGTTTTGGTACATTTGGCTGGAGAGAAATGATAGGATTTTTAGAGATGCGGAGACCTCTCCTCAAGTGATATGCCACAAGATCGGTAATATGGTCGGTCAATGGCTATGAGCTTTCAATCGTATCTCAGATATCCACTTTCATCAGTGGTTGACGACTGCGACGAATCACTCCACTTGACATTTGCTTTTTTTCTTCTTTTTGTTTTGGTTTTTTTTTTTGGTTACTTTTTCCCTTCTTCTTTTGATAGATTGCTCTACTGCTGGTTGAGCAGTTGCCTTGTGTTTCTTTTTGCTCGTCTTGATTGGTTGTTGCCTTTTTTCTCTTCCTTTTTACTTTCTTTTTTTAGTTTTTCTCATTCTTTTGGGGTGCTCCTTTTTTCTTTTGGTTATTGTTTTTTTATTTTCTGTTGGAACTGTTGTTGTTCTAATAAAAAGTTTCATCATTCATAAAAAAAGCTCCGAGCAAAGAAGGAAATGAGGAGAAATTAACTCACCCAAGACCACTAGTGGGTAGATTTATGCTCCAAGTATTGAATCAAGCATCTAGAAAGAGGGAGAATCACTTTGCGATGGGTTTTTACTCTATCTTAGTTACTATTTCTCTTCTAGCTATGTAGTAGTCCTCCTTGTCAGTTGGATGATAGGAACCCTAGTTTGATATGTTGTAGATTGTAGGATTGTGAACTCTATTGTGAATGGGTATTGTGATTTATTTACGTGACTGATATACTTTCATGAAATTGGGTGTTCTTGATCAAATCTTTCAATTTTTGGGTAAATTAACCTAGGAGGGAGAATATCCCCTTAGGCAATTCGGGACAATCCTCAATTACCATAGAGCGCCATGATTTAGAGTGATCAGTTACTTTGCGCCGTTCCGACTTTAACTCTAGAGAGTAGAATTGATTTCCTTGATTGTCTTTTGCAGTTATGAGGCACGACCCTTCAATTAGATCGACTGAGCAGGCTAGGATGCACTCAAATAGGGGATCCTAGCTACTTTAGCACTCATAATAGTATATGAACACTTACCTATTGCATTAGAGTGTCACGATTTCATCTCAACATGAACTAGGGGGAATATTGTCATAGTGATCCTTTCTCATTTGAATTCACCAATATTTACTTTGCTTGCTTTTTTAGTTCATTTAGTTTTAACCACAATTCGATCGCTATTTAACGTGTGAACGGTTGAAGTAAGGATAGATAGTCCGTTCGGGTTGATATTGAAATATTTATCTTATCCTACACCCAATTATAGGTTGCACTTAGCCTATAGTTGAGATAGCGTTGTAGAGGCAGCGAGTTAGATACTCCACCACATGCGACTTGTCCATTGAGAAAGGTATTCAGTTCATCGATGGCTTCTGATCTTTAGTTATGTTCCGACCAATGGTGGAGGCGGTTGGAGAGTCATCCTAGAGAGCTCCACCACCGTGCCGATGTGGCCATACTGGTGCTTCATCATCATCCGTAGCCAGTCCTTCATCCTCGATAAAACCTTGAGGCCCAAGTCTATGCTCTCGTGGACTAGGTTGTCTGAGTTTCATTTCAGCTCGCCTGAGAGCGGGATGCCTGGCGTCATTCACAGCGTTCGGAGGATGAGGTAGTCCGCACTCAAGGTATCTCTCTCCAGGACCCTGATTGGCATTGTTGCCTCATCACCAGAAGTAGTCACCACTAATTGAGTGCCATGCTAGCATCATCATACTACCATCTCATTTCTCCCCACTTTGACTCTACACTCTTCTTTTGCTATTTTTATCTTTTGAACTAGTACCATAGTGTTTTTTTTTTATCTTGTGATGTTGACTATTATGATTGTGTAATAACCTCGCCTTGTGCAAACATGTGTTTGTGTTTTATATTTGTTCCATGTGAAGCTCTCTCTCCTTCAAAACTGGTCCATCTTCAGTCCAACTTTCACTCACCAATGATTCGGTAACTTTGTTCCACCCTTATTCTTGCTCCATGGAGGACAATATTGTGCATAACTGTGGGCGGGTGTGTACATATATTTGTGATTGGCATACTTGAATGCTTTAGAGCCTTGTGATTGCCAAATTTTGTACAATTTGAGGGCTCCTAGCACTTGTGCATGATTGATTGTTTGATGGATCGCACGCCAATTAAAGGGTGATGCACATGGGGACCATGCTCATATTCAGTTTGAATCCATTTAAAGGCCTGTCATCTTCAATGTTGTGGTCCCTCCACCCGGGACGAGGTATAGGTACGTATGATGAAAGAACGAATGAATATGATTCCTACTTACCCAGTCAGAAACACAAAAACTTATCAAATTGCTATAACCCCAAAGCAAAAATCTCAAAAGGAGAATAAAAAGTTGTGGAAGGTGTAGAATAGAACTGTAACATCACTCATTATCAACATCAAGAGTCTTGGTTTCTTCCTCGTGTCTACCTCCTTTCACTTGAGAACATTCATAGGAGGATTTTTCGATTAAGTTGAGAATGAACATGGAAAGCTTGAGACATCTCTAGTCATTAAGTTTTCTTCTCCCCCTCTGATGGTCTAGTATCTTAAGGTACTAGGGGCTAATCCCCCAAACCCTAACTAGGATTCTCATATGTAATGAAGGATATACTTCAATTTATGATGTATTTGTGTTCGGTTAGTGTTTCTAATTTGTTACATGATTTATGTGCCTGTGAATGTTTTCTTATGCATGTTGTATGTCATGTGGTGATGATTTTTGGGCTTGACCTAGGTTGAGGTGTTCATCCCCTTAGGTTAAGGAGGGACTTACCTAATTGATGCTTGTTGGCTGGCTACATGATCATCGATAACTTGAGGGGTGTGCCTATGGGTTAAACCCATTTAAAAAGGATGTGCTATCCCTAGCTAAGAAAACTGATTACATGACCATTGGGTCAGTAGGTGTGGTTAGGAGGGGAGTTGGAAGACAATGATCATTGCACCAACGCCCAAAATTAGTGACCCTCGCGCCTCAATTGCCATAAATGTGTATGTTATCCATTGCATGTAATTACTCGTATGTTGGTGTGAGGGAACCAAACTCTGAGTATCATCTTTGTCTTTGTGCATCTCGTTTAGTTTTAATTTGTTTAGTTTAGTTAAGTTACAACAAAACCTTTAAAGAATCGACTAGATAACAATAGAGCTCTTGAGTAGGCTAGGGGGATTTAGGATAGTGAAACTTCGGTCAACCACTATACTATTTCTCCCAATTAGGTTATACTTGGCCTCATTAGGGTAGTAGAGTAGAAATGTACCGAGTTTATAACTCATGTGTGTGAGCAAGTGCGAGCAATAACCACTTGGCTTATCGGGATCCAAGATATATGCTTTGCTCCTATACCATGGTTGCAATCAATATATATCCATGAATGAGTTTCTCACGTGTTTTACTTTATTGATCCCACTATAAATAAAAAACCATAACATTTGACAATCTCCTTTGCCACATATCGAGTTTGGTCCTCTGTATGATCTTCATCCTCTCTAAAATCTCCTAAAAAAACATATGAAAAAAGAATAACTAAATCTGTCATTCATCTAAAATTATATTTCAATACTCACATATAACATTTAAATTTATATATTTCATAACAAAAAGGGTCAATCATCTAAACAAGTTCATTCATTTTTTTTAGAGATTATATATTTCCTCACAGAAAATAAATGATTGCTTACCGTATTACTCATGAACTTTAACCGATCTGATCTAGATCAGATGGTACAGAACCAAACCAACACAAAATAAAACAACAACTTTAATTTTAGCTGACCCGGCTCCCAAATGGATGAGTCCAACTTTTTCTTGCGAAATTTAAGGGCTAAATTACACATTTGGTCACTCGAATTATACAAATCTTTCATGTTTGCCACCCAAATTATTTTTCTTTCTAATTCGCCACTAACTTTATGAATTGTTTCATCGTTAGTCACCGGCCGTTAGACTCCGTTAAATTTGTCCTACGTGGCAGTCAACTATAAAGTTTGACTATTAATTAGATGACGTGGAAATTAATAAAAAATAAAAAAAAAATTATTTGTCCACCTCATCATTCCACTTAGATTTATCAAATTACTTATTTAATAAAAATTAAATAAGTTATAAAAATAAATAATATGATTTATTTATTCTCATATAATTCTGGGGTTGGCCGTACTCGAGGAGATCGGCGGTGGTATGGCGGTGGCCTGGTCGTAGAAGATGATTCATATTCAATTCCTTCCAATTACTAAAAATCTTCTCCTTTCTCATTAGTTCCTTTCCATAATCCTATCTTCTCCCCGTGCATTCTAAATGGACCGCCATGGAATCTTTGAGTGCTCTTCTCTTCATTATTCTCATCAACACCACCTTACCCCACAGAACTTGCTCTCCTCAACGCACAAAGTACAGCTCCTGCCTCCTGCGAACCCAGAACATGCAGCAGCGTCGGCACTTCCATCAGAGCAGTTATTTGATTTCAGTATTTATTTAGCGCATCAGCCAAATTTTATGATCGCTACCTAACCCCCTCCCTCCCTGATTCAACTCTCTTACTTCCGATAGTCCCACTCGATTCAAATCTCTCAGAAGAACACCATCCCGGTAATCATTTTAATTTGTCTGCTGTTAAATAATGGCGGAAGTCGCCAAACAGGCACGGCGGAAGCATCTGATCCAGCTTCAAGCCCACCCTCTCCGAACCAAGGTCTCATGCTCTGTTTCTTGGATCCTCTTTTCAACCATTTTTCTTTTCTTGGGACTCCCTCCAGCTCCAAGGTCCCTATGCGGTATAAACATTTCAACGTTCGTGAGTGGTTTTTTGTTTTGGGGAATGTTAATCAGGCAATCACTCCGGGCGTCTTGGCTAGAACCAGTAGTTTGATTGCTCAGAAAATTTCTGGGTCGAAGAAGATTCTACTCCGAAAATTGGTTCTTTTCATGATAAGAAAAGAAGTTGACCTTTTACTTTGTGTGTTTGTTTTGCCATGCCATGTCCGCAACTGGGCTGGGATCTGATTTGATTGCGTTGACCATAATTTGTTCTCTTCTGGAGATTAATTAATCATATTATTTATTTTTGTAATTTATTTAATTTTTATTAAATAAGTAATATGATAAATTTAAGTGGAATGATGAGGTGGACAGATTATTTTTTTATTTTTTATTTTTTAAATTTCCACATCATCTAGTTAACAGTCAAACTTTATAGTTGACTGTCATGTAGGACAAATTTAACGGAGTCTAACGGCCGGTGACTAACGGTGAAACAATTCATAAAGTTAGTGGCGAATTAGAAAGAAAAATAATTCAGGTGGCAAACATGAAAGATTTGTATAATTCGAGTGACCGAATGTGTAATTTAGCCGAAATTTAAGACAGTCTTTCCACATAGTTGTTTGTTTTTGTTAATTTTCCTTTTTTTTTTTCCTTTTCTTCTTCTTCTGCTCTCTATCTTTTAGTTTTATCCGTTTCTCAGGGGACAGCGCCTTTTGGTGGGGACCGGCCCGCCAGCTAGCCAGCCAGGCTACCGATGGAATTGCAGAGAGAGTAAGAAAGAAGAGAGGGCATTCTCGTCACTTCATTTCTAAAAAATTGTCAAAGTACAACCGTCTCCCACGAGACGAGAGTGCAGGCATTGGACACCAGGCTGTAAGGACTAAGGAGTAAGGAGTAAGGAGTAAGGACAGGGTCGTAAATTCCTGCGAGATGGAGTCCTGACTTTTGAATCATTTAATTACACTACTTAAATATTTTTATCGAAGATCCAACTTTGCCATCCAGAAATCTCTACCCCAGCGCAGCGAGCGAGCGACGACCCAAACGAAGAAGAAAAGAAAACCGAATCCAAGTAGGAAAGAAAAGGTTGAGTGGGATTCTGGAGAGGCCTCAGAGGACACACCCAGAAGAGCGTGCGAAGGCGCCAAACGGGATTGCGAGGACTTAAGAGAAAAAGAGGAGGTGGAGAAAGACTGGTCTGCACTTTTGTAGGCATTCATGGCGGAGGATAAAAAGGAGGCGACATCCAGCGGCGACGAGAGCGTCAAGTTGTTTGTAGGTCAAGTCCCCAAGCACATGACGGAAGCTCAGCTTCTCGCAATGTTCAAAGAGTTCGCCTTGGTAGACGAGGTCAACATCATCAAAGACAAGACTACGCGCGCTTCCAGAGGTTCCCTTCCTCCTCCATTTCCCATTCTTCTTCCTCTTCCCCCCACATTTTCCCCTTTCTCATTTCTGGGTGATTTCCTATGGGGGCTTCTATTCGCGATTTGCCCTAATTTCATGTCTTCTCTTCTGTCTGGCCTGCTCTGCAGGGTGTTGTTTCGTGCTTTGTCCATCCAGGCACGAAGCAGATAAGGCGGTCAGTGCGTGTCATAATAAGAAAACCTTGCCCGGGGTGAGTTCAAATTTGATCTCCCTATCTACATTTTTTTTTGTCGAAACATAAAAATCTGCGAGACGCCCTCTCTACGCCAGATTTCTGATTTAGCCAACTTGGTTCCACTTCATCATGAGTAGGGTTGTTTAGTGCTTGACTGCTGTGAAGAAGGAATAGCTTCTTTGCGTGGCTCAAATTAGTTCAACATTGTCAAACCTTGGCTGTTTGTGCATAGTGGGCAGAGATGGCCAACTTGGTAATTTTGTGTAACAGTTCTTGATGGGTTTGGGATATGAAGCTGCTTTTTCTGGTTCTGTGTTGGGATCGTAATGCCTACTTAATTTGAGAGTTCTGGATCAAATTCAGGTCTTGCTGGGGCCTAGTCATTTTTCTATTCTGGGAACTGGACTTGTTCCTTTCATCTGGTTGCAGTGTCATGATCCATCAGTTATGTGGAGTAGCAGGCACAACGGGTTGACTGCCGTGATGAGCTTGCAAAAGTGGATAAATCTTCAAAAGTTTTGGCATACTGTCTATTCTAGTATGTCAAGCACAGTCAATAAGGATGAATCTTATGAAACTTGCACTTTAGATAATCTAGAGGTTGAAATGGGATTCTAAAGATCTATATTTATACTTTTTCTTTGTTTACAGCAAGTACATCTTGTCATAATGTAAGCTAAAAGGTCCACTGCTAAAGTAATACCTTTCTGAGGAAGAAGTTTTTGGAAATTGTGACTTTGCATATATCATATATGTCCATCATATGAGTGGAAACTTTTGTGATACATGTTTGGTTCAGTCTACAAAAAGTTATTTCATTTCTAGCCTCAACCCCCCTCTTCTTTCTGTCCATTTCAGGCATCTAGTCCATTGCAAGTGAAATACGCAGATGGCGAGTTGGAACGTTTAGGTGTGTAATATAATTCCAATAACCATCTTGTAATTGATTGTAAAAATACTGTGCATACGTTACTGCAGTGATTTCTCAGTGTATCATGTTCCTGTACTCTGTGTGATATTTGCCTTCCCTGTTTTCATTGGTTGTTCTTGCAAATGGCAATTCAGAACACAAGCTCTTTGTTGGCATGCTACCTAAAAATGTATCTGAAGCTGACTTATCCGATTTGTTCTCCAAGTATGGCTCAATCAAGGACTTACAAATTCTAAGGGGTTCACAGCAAACTAGCAAAGGTATCCGCTTCTTTTAATACTTTCACTTTTTGGTCTTTTGTTGGTGAAATGCTGAAATCTAATGTTCTAGCTGATCTCAAGGTTGTGCTTTTTTGAAGTATGAGACAAAAGTTCAAGCCCTTGCGGCGCTCGAAGCTATCAATGGAAAACATAAAATGGAGGTGCGTGCTTACCCAAATTTGTCCCTGCATTTCTTGTCCCTTCCTATGCTCTTAGGATTTTTTGCTGTGCTACAGCTGCATGTTATGCCATACATCTAGATCAGTGATCTGCTATTTTCTATTCTTCATTTGGAGTAGAGTTTCTTGGCCCCCGGATTTAGTAACTACATATAATATAATGTTTGTAAGAAAATACTGGAGTCATTGTAAATTTTTTTGTACTTGACCAGTGGAGCACGCCCCATCTTTTTAGGTAGTTGTCCTGGAATCACCAACAAATGTTATTCCCACTTATTACGTAAACCTCATTCATTTGTTTTTGTCTGCTGGTTGTTTTTTATTCTTTCTAAAGGTAACGCTTTGTTTCTCCTTAGAGTTCATCCAAAGCACGGTGTTATTAACATATCAGGCAATTTTGTTACCTGTTAAGACTGATCCATTATGCTTTTTTTTTTATCCTCCATAGGGTTCAAATGTTCCTCTGGTTGTCAAATGGGCAGATACAGAGAAGGAAAGGCAAGCCAGGAGAGCTCAGAAAGCACAATCTCAGGCATCTAATATACCAAATGCTGACTTACAGCATCCTTCCTTGGTTGGAGCCTTGCCAATGGGATATGTTCCCCCTTACAATGGCTATGGTTACCAAGTAAGTGATGTTGCAACTCTGTTGATATTCTCTTTGCTGTGCATTGTTTTTCTTCTCCAGTTGTTATCGTCAAATAAAGAGCTAAATTCAGTATTGTCCACACAGGGCCCTGGATCATATGGAATCATGCCATACCGGTTGCCACCTATGCAGAATCAACCTGGTTTCCATGGCATGATTTCCCCCATCAATCAAGGAAACGCGTTGCGCGGTGGAATCAGACCTGACCTTTCACCCAATATGGGCCCTAGAAATTATGGTGTTCCTCCAGCGAGTTATGTGGGCTCGGCTTTCCACCCTGCAGTCCCGGGCGTTCAGTACTCTATGACTTATCCAGGAGGGATGATGAGTCATCGACCAGTAGGTAGTTCACCTAGTTCAGCATCTCATCAAGTTGGGAGCAGCAGTAGTCCTGGATCCTCTTCGGGTGTCACCATAAGTTCGGGGTCTCAGGTTGAAGGTCTGTGTTTCTTTCTTTTGCATCATCTGTCTACTTTTTTGTGCCTACTACTACCTTGTATCTTTGGATGCTGTAATGATCAAGGTTCTTTCCCCGGCGTTCCATAATCAACTTAGGTCCACCTGGTGCTAACTTGTTCATATACCACATACCACAAGAATTTGGAGATCAAGAGCTTGCTAATACTTTCGAAGCATTTGGCAAGGTGTTGAGTGCAAAGGTTTTTGTTGACAAAGCAACTGGTGTCAGCAAATGTTTCGGTATGCAAGTGTTATTTTTATGTTTGAGAATGTAGTTCCTTCGATGTATTCCATCCTCTGTAATGGGTTGGTGTTTGTTGTTCCCCAGGTTTTGTTAGTTATGACTCGCCAGCTGTAGCTCAAGCTGCAATTGGTGTAATGAATGGATACCAGTTAGGTGGTAAGAAATTGAAGGTTCAGCTGAAAAGAGACAACAACAGACAGAGCAAACCTTACTGATAAGAAATAAGCGGTGAGTTATGGAAGCAAAGCGAGAAATGGGAGTGATGGACTCACGATGCTGTGGGGCTGGATTTTGAGCTGTCGATATCTGCTGCATTCATGCAAAATCCTTGTAATTTGGGTTGAAGCTCCCCCCATCTTGTAATTCATGGTGCAATTCTGGCACCAGGCACACAACTGTAATTTTCTGTACCATGGAATTTCATTTTAGATACTAACGATTATTCCATTGATTTTTGATTTTTCGTTGAAATTATTTCAATGCTTTCTCCTTCTGGTACATGCTTAGCATTTAGCAACATCTCCAATCTGGTTTACCATCTTTTGACTTTCTTATTTTCCTTGCTGGTTGTGTTGGCCACAATAGGATGTAAGTTGAGGCAATGCCTTCAACCATATGTTGTCAAAGCGATGAAAAAAGATATCCTGAAAGAATCAGAGTGAATGTTAAGAACCTTAACTAGTTTTCAGGCACTTGTTCCAGAGGGTCAACTCGGTGGTTGTTCTTTGAGGGCAGTCTATGTTAAATGTTGGGAGATCAGATGCGTGCTGCCCAATCAGCATGATTTCTACCGGCTGCCTTTCTTTTGCTATTCAATTTTTTAACATAATGAGAAAAACATCAATTGCGTTCCTTATCTGATTGTGGATGAAAAGCGCCGCCTAGTTGGCCGCAATTAGCAACGGGGTTCAAGCTCGTCACACCGTAGCCTCTTCACAAATCATCCAAATCGAGTTCCCAATTGGCCACCAGCATCTTTCACGCGAATCCAATCTGTAAGGATTGTTAAGGGCGAATCTGGCGAAGGCGGAGTGAGAGAGGGAAGAAGAAGGAATTTGGGAAAGTAGAAGAGTTCTCGTTTTATTGCTAACTAACTAAAATTGGTAAAGTAGTTACAGATAATTTGATTAGGCAAAAGATAACCAATCACAATGAACTCTTCTTATTTATACAAACACTCCTCCGTGAAGTGCGGCAAGTCGGTGATCAGTCTCGTATCGCTTGAATATAGAAAAGATAGACAACCCGAGATGAAGAGACCGTGGAAGATGCATGCTATGAAACAATGTGATGTCTCAAGCGGTTAGGTTGCCCTTGCTACGGTGCTTCCCTCCCATGGATCTAGCAATCACGTAGTGTATGAGCCTCCACTCCGGCTTCACCTTATTGGCTTTTGATAACTTCACATCCCATTGTCGACTATCGTTTATCTTGAAACAAGGGAAGTCAGATTCCCTTGTCAAGGTAGCAAATTCATTATATGAATAAATGAAACTCGCCGGGTAGATGTCCATCGCTCTAGTGAACTCTCGAATCGACATATGACGATGTTCTCCTCCGAGTTGAAATTGGATGTTATTTTCAAGGTCGGCGGCACCCTTGATATCTCGAATAGTGAGAGTACTGATAAACTCTAGAACAAGCACCCGATATATATTTTCTTGAATAGAGAGCAACTTGAGTCATTCCAACTCCTGTACTTTAGAGCGGATTGCATCTTCAATTCCGAGTTGGGCGAAAAGGGTCCAATTGAAACAAGAACTTTCGCCTAGAGGTAATCCTTAAAGCCACAAAATCTTGCTCTTGAATTGCTCGGGTATGTGTTCCAAAAAGTAGTGAGTGATGTGCTCATCTTGATGGAGTATCCTTGATGGATGTTGAAGATGTGAGGTTGAATGAGGTTCTTCAATAAGTACTTCTTTTGATTTGAATTCCCTTGTTTTCTTCTTTTGACCTTAGCGAGGACGAGAGGTGCGAGATTATTAGCTCTCACCATGAGCTATGCCTTTGGATTTTTATATTATCCTACAAAACAAGTGGTACACATTTGCACAAACCATCAATCCAAAAATCACATTTCAAAAGGATAGCATTCCAATGAACTATCATTAGACCTCTAAATTCTTCACCCAACACTTGAGTGAAACTAAGAATTTGGCAAGAGGGGGAAATTAAAAAGAGGGATAGCTGATAACGATGTAATTGCATGATTTTATACCCCTATTTCTTATCCATTTGCGGAGCATGGTTGTGTGTTTTGGCCTATTTTACGCCGGGTTGTGCTACTTTGTCCTATTTCAGGTCCCAGGCGTCAAAGGGAAGGCCAAGCACGAGTTTCGGATCGTTTGGAAGTCGTTTGGACAAGCCAGGGCCAAAACACGGGCAGGAGGCCCTCAGAACACGGCCGTGTTCCTGACCGTGCTTTTATGGCCGAGACTTCCCAAGGGTGGATTGAACCACCTAAAAAACACGGGCAGGCTTGAGGGAAAACACGGCCTTGTTTTGCACTGAACACGCCCGTGCTTTCATGACGCCCGTGGCCGTGCTTTTAAGCCAGATTCAAAACACGGGCGGGCTGAGGCAAAGCACGGCCGTGCCCTCGACCGTGCTTTGGCCAATGATGCCCTTTTAGGCAGATTTCAGCCAAATTGAGAGGGGATTCGAGTTTTAGAGAGATAGAGCGATTCCTAGAGAGAGAAAGCGACGAACAAGAGTCCCCAAGCGCTCTAGATCGATCTTCAACACCATTGGAGCTTGGTTTGAGCTTGGAGAAGTGCCGATTCAACGTCCAGGAGCAGAAATCCATCTTCACAGTATGATTTCCGCGTCTGATTCTGCTTTTGCTTCTTTCTCCATGGAGTAGTTCTCCCATTCATCTGGGTGTGGGAAACCCTAGTTCTGTATGTTGAGATTGATTGTATGAACCCAAGTACTGTTTCTATGATTTGATTATATTCGATTGAGGTTTGAATGATTGAATGGAATGAATCCTGATCAAATTCCTGTTGTTTCTGCTTTAACCTAGAATGATAATATCTGCCTAGGTTAATAGAGTATCCTTGATTGAAGATAGGGAGTTGGTGACTTTAGTCGAGGAACCAACTCACTATTCTATACCGGTTTTACTCTCGTAGTGGAGGTTTTGTTCTTAGGGCCTCAATCTGTTTACTCCGGTGGAGGTTAGTCGCCCGCTAGAGACTCAGATTGAGAGGGTCTGAAGACCTTTAGTCGAGACTTCAGACTGTTTGAGAACCTTCCGCAGTATAACTATCATAGAAATTGAACTTGGTAATTACAATCCGGCTTAACTGCAGACTAGGGGGAACAATATCCGGGTGACCTCTCTTAACCTGAAAACAACCGTTTAGTTGCTTTGCTTGCTTGTTAGTTTAGATCTTCACTAAAGCTTCATTGCTAGATAATACGAATTCACTGAGTAGTCATCACATCTAGGACCCGGGTTGACATTAAAACCCAAACCCGCTATACTACGCTTTAGGAAGTGGTTACACTTGGCCATTTTCTAGAGTGACAGTAGGAGTGAGTCATGTTTTTGGCGCCGTTGCCGGGGACGGCTAGGTTGTTGAAGAAAAGTGATTTCTGTTACTTTAGCATTTTCATTTTTCGCATTGAGTTTTTGTTCTTCCCACTTGTGCCTTCACGGGTTTGCATCACTTGATTGTGTGCAGATAGTGCATGACCCGTAGCCAGCCGGGAGGTTTACTGCCGTTGAATCCTGAGATTGAGCGCACCTGCAAACAACTTCGGAGACAACAGCGAGCTAGACTGGCTACGGTGGAGCGCAGAGACGGCCAATTGAGCAGCGACTCCAAGGACGAGTACGAGATGGAAGGCAATCAGAACCCGCCTCCTCAGAACCAGGTCCTGGGGAATGACCCAAATCCCCAGGGAGCTCCCACCTTGGAGTACTACTACACTCCACGGATTGCTGACATCCGCCCGGTCATCCTCTATCCGCCCATTCCAGCAAACAACTTCGAGATCAAGCCATGTTGGATTCAACTCATCACATCCTCTATCCAGTTCCATGGCTTGAAGGATGAGGAAGCCCGGGTGCATCTTTCCCGTTTTCTGCAGCTGACGAACGGGTTCAAGCTGAATGGTGTCCCGGATGACGCAATCCGCCTTCATCTCTTTCCCCATTCTCTGGCGGGGAATGCTAAGAGGTGGTTGGAGACCCAGCCCCCATTGTCCATCACCTCTTGGGACGATCTGGCTGACAAGTTCGTGCACCGGTATTATCCGGCATCGAAGACCACGGAGATCCAGCGGGAGATTACTCACTTCCGCCAAGAGCCAGATGAGTCACTTCGTGATGCATGGGAGCGGTACATGGGATACTTCTGGCAGTGTCCCCATCATGGCTTCAGCGATGCTTTCACAGTAGGGAACTTCTACAGCGCCCTCACTCCAGACAGCCAGAGGGTGATTGAGTCTCTATGCCCAGGAGGGGATATCCTTACTAAGACTTCACCCGAGCTGAACCAGATGATCAGTACCTTGGCTGCCCGCGATCATTCCTGGGGGCAGAGCAGCAGAGGCAGGCATTCCCGGGACCGTGGTGTGCATGCCATGGAGGCCAGATCCGGGTTAGAGCAGCAGGTGGCTGAGTTGGTGCAGACATTGAAGCAGCCTAACAGTCTCCTTCCGGGCCGAGGTTTGGCTACGCCTCCAGTAGCTCAGTGTTAGTGGTGTGAGAGCCCAAATCACCTGGTGGAGGATTGTCAATCCATGAGGGAGTCCTCTACTCCCGACGAACAGGTGGACTTCATCGCCAATGCTCGGCGCCTGGACCCGTACAGCAGTACCTACAATGAGGGATGGCGCCAGCATCCCAACTTTTCCTGGAGCAGCAACACCAACAAACCACCTGGTTTCCCAGCACCAGCAGGTGGCTTTCAGCAGAGGCAGCCCTTCCAGGCTAGGCAGGGGCCACCACCATAGCAGCAGCCCTTCCAGCCTAGGCAAGGGCAGCCATACCAGCAGCCTCAGCGCCAGTTTGCTCCGCCTCCAGCAGCCGCAGCACCAGATCCTCAGATATCTGATCTGAAGAATATTTTGCAGGCTTTCATGACCACCAGTCAGGCGAACTTCACAAGGATGGATCAGAACATAGCCTCACTGGAGGCAGGCCAGAGGAACCAAGGTGCCATTCTGCAGGATCTACAGAACCAGATTGGGAGCTTAGCTCGCCAGAACACTACCAGGGCACCGGGGACTCTGCCTGCCACCACCATCCCCAATCCACGGGACCCGCATGAGACTGCACACGCCATCACCACCAGGAGTGGCAAGACTACATCTGCTGCTCTTGCCCAGCCCAGGCGAGACGACCCACTACCTGCTTCAACACCTCCAGCGGATACTGTAGAGGTGGGGGAAGGCAGCACAGCACCTGCTCCAAAGCCGCAACCTGTGGTTAAGGAGCATACACCCCAGCTGCCCTTCCCCACTCGACTCCATAAAGACAAGCTGGAGACAGAGTTTGCCAAGTTCATGGCAATGTTGAAGCAGGTCAACATCAGCATGCCGTTCGTGGAGGCACTGTCGAAGATGCCCAAGTATGCCAAGTTTATGAAGGACCTCCTCACCAACAAGAAGAAACTTGGGGATCTTTCGACAGTGATGCTCAGCGAGGAGTGTTCTGCCA